TTTTTTTTTTTTTCTGTTTCCCCTCCATCTACCGTTTGGGAATATGTTTCTATATTTTTTTCTTTTTTTCTTTTCTTTTTTTCTTTTTTTTTAAATTATTTATTTCCATTTCTCTTCAAGAGTTATACGTAATAACAAGGGAAGGGACGGCGGCATGCTTCGACGACTCACACGTACCAACACCACTGCGGCTGCTGTGCGCACCATTGTTGTCTTCAGCCAGCAACACCACATCCTCGAGGGAAACCAGAAGGCCCGCAGCAGTCCCAGTAATGTGTGGATTGAGGACTGGGAGGTGGAGGGACACGGACTGCGGCCTGAGCCCGCTGCAGTGCCAACACAATTGCTGCTTGACAAACCACTGGAGCTCTTTAACTTTGATCAGCTTCTCTCCCCACCAGAAGTGATGGAGGCTCCAAAACACAGCAGCTACAGCTCTCGAAAAATGTATGGAGAGAAATTACAGTTTGAACTAAATGATCGTGCTCAAAAGCATGGTTTTCAAAGTAAATGGTGGTTAACTAGAGCACAAGCTATGAAGAACTCCCTCACTTTTAAAGGTAATGCACGTAGTTCTATCATTCTAACAAAGAGCTCACTTAAATTGTACCACTCCAGCCAACTTATTGGAGGAGAGTCCCTCATGACACACCCGGTTTCTGGTGGTTCAAGGAAACTATACAGTAAGAAGGGTGAAGCCTTCCAGGTACTTTCTGATAATATTCGCCAGAACAATTTTAACAGTGGTCTTTACTTTACAAATCGTCAGCTGGAGTTTTTTAAACTTGCAGTTCAACCGAATCAGACACCTGTGGTACTGGATATTTCTTCTGGAGAGCGGTATCTAATCTACAATGTGGAGCAACTCGAGGATCCTGAACTCGCGCTTAAGACACTTGATCGTTCTCCCGTAAATATCCCAACCTTCCTCCTTTCCGGAGAGCCTATTCAACACGAAAGTATGAAGAAACTTCCCAAGTTCAAGAGTAACTACTGGTTGAGTGGACGTGATGCAGAGCTTTATCAATGGCCTATTAAGGATTCTGAAAAAAAGAAGGGTGTACCACTTCGAAATGAGGGAAGTGGGACTCTGCAGGTAGAGCTTTATAATGTGGAGCAGCTTGCTAACCCTGAAGAGGCTTTTGCCAAGGCGGGTCTTTTCGTCCAGTAAGAAGAAGAAGAAGAAGAAGAGAGAAGAAGCACCAAAAAAGAAGAGAAAAAAAAAGGAGTACATAAATACATTCATACATATATATATATATATATATATATCTACATATAAACGTATAGATAGTGAGAGATGAGCATCGATTACAACTACAAAAAAAAAAAAAGAAAATACGTACACTTATACAAATACATGAAACGCAACGCAACAACATAACGCAAAAGAGCTGGAAGCCGATTGAAGACATCTAAAGAGAAGAGTGATTGATAAAAAGAAGAAGAGGGAAGGGGGAAGTCAAAAAAGAACTAGTTCCAGAAACTTTTTTTTTTTTCCTCCCTTTCCCCACTATTTGTGTCCCATTTTTCTTATTATCTGTTTCCCCCCTTGTTCAACTGTGTATCGACTGGTAGGAGAGCATTTTTTTTCTTTTCTTTTCTTTTGTTCACTCCATAAATGTGAGCAATACGTCAACAGGCGAAGGAAAAAGGAAAAAAAAAAAACGGGAAATATAGGAAAAGAGCAAGGAGTGTGTGTGTGTGTGTGACAGATGTAAATAGAGATAGAAAGAGTGCTGATGAATTAACGTGCACACATATAGCAGTCTTGATGATGTAGGGAAGGTATATACACATCTCGTTCTTGTTATTACTTTACCTGTTATTATTTTGACTGCATTATATCTGTTCCTCTTTTTGTTCTCCTCTTATTCATCTTCCTTTTCCTTTTTCCCCCTCCTATTGGTTTCACTTAACGTTGACTGTTTTTTTTTCTTCTTTCTTGTTCTTCTCTTGATGAAAAGATCTCTTGTAGCCCGGGGATCAACAAGAGTGAGAAGGAGCTGTAGAAGTGAAAGAGAAAAAAAAAAAAAAGAAGGTTGGACAGTGTGTGTCTGTGTGTGTGCTTGACACACCTGTACATACAGGAGTGATTAAAAGAATATTTCTAATGAAGGGCTCTGCGGTAATATAAACAGCATTACTGTTTTGTTCTTCTCTTCTTCTTGTGGCTGGTTATGTTCTTTTTCTTTCATTTCCTTTCCTCTGCTCTCGTCTTCCCTTTACTGGTTTTTTTTTCAATCAATGGAGAAAGAGAGAGAAAGAGAGTCGCAACCATTTTTTCTTTTTCTTTTTCTTTTTTTTAAACATTGTGTATTTATGTGTGTGCGTAAAAGCATGCACGGCATAGAGTGAAGCTACAATACGAGGAGGGGGAAAAAACAACAACCAAAACACCCCCATATTCTCCACCCCCTCTGCACTTACTACACCAAGTAATTATTCTGCCCTTTGTTTGTTTGATCGTATTGGTAGATGTTTCTTTTTTATTTTCTTTCTTTTTATTACGTATGTTAAATGAAAATTTTTTTTTTCGTGTTTTGGATGAAAATAAAGAAGTAAAAAGAAGAAAAGAGAGGGAGTAGTTTTAGGGGGTTTTGCAGACATATGGTGAATGTCGCTTCTATTAGTATAGCTTCTGTTGTTGTTGTTGATGATGATAATGATTGTGATTGTGTGATGGTGATGAATTCATGGGAGAGAGAAAAGAAAAAATATTTCAACATAGATGTCTTGTTCGTGTGCGGAAAGAGCAGTGAGAAGAAAAAGTGAGGGAGAAGGAAGAAAAGAAGAAAAGAAGAAATGGAAGAAGTATATATATATATATATATATATATATAGTGTATTTATGCATAGAATGGGTCGACATATTACTCATTCATATTCTTCTCTTTTTTTTTTTTTCTTTTTTTACTCTCACGCATTCATTAACTACGTTGTGTTTCACTCGCATTCTTTTTTTTTTTTTTTTTTAAAGGCTCTGATTGCTCTTCACATGCACTGCGTGGTTTATTGTGTTTATTGTGTTTGTTTGTTTGTTTGTGTCTGTGGGCGGGTGCTCCCTCTCTTCCACTTTCCCATGCCTCTTCTACAGTGGAGGGGTTGAGGAACACCCACACAAGGCCAACAGTATATATATAAAAAAAGAAAAGCTGAAGAAGAAGAACAACAAAAAGAAAAAGAAAAGGAAAATGAAAAGAAAAGAAAAAGAAGAAAACATTGTTTTTTTTTCTTTTGGATTAGATGTGCAATGCGTGGGTAACGGTATTGTACCACGTGGTGTCTGTAGTTCTCTTTTTTTTTTTTTTTACCTCTTCTTTCTCCTTCTCCACCTTTTGGATAAGCAAAAAGAAAAAAAGAACAAAAATACCCCATTCTTTTTCTCTCATATATATATTCACTTGAAAAAGGAAAAAAAAAAAAAACTGTTTTTTTTTGTTTTCTTCTCCCCTTTTTTTCTCTCTCTTTCTCTTTGGACTATCACTTTTATTCTTTTGGGTTATTATCCTTAGACAGTTTTTTTTTTTTCTTTACTCCTGTTCCTGCAGCCTCTGGTGGGTACCTTTACGTGCTCTAAAGCAGTGGACGAGTGAGAACACAGATATACCAGATAAACTAACACATAAAGCTTTAGTCAAATAGAATATATATATATATATATATATATATATATATATATAAGAGTTTTTATTATTATTTTTATTATACTTTTTACGGCTTCAGAGATATGCGGTATTCAAAGCCTCACGCTGCTGTTTTCACTCCAGCAATGCCGTACTTGGACGCATTTCTCAGTCGTCATGTTCGACCAGACCACCCGCTTCGTCATCACCCTTTGTGGATCTCTTCGCAGGAATTATCTGGCCATCCTAACATTGAGTTTGATGGAGGCTGTGCGAAAAATTCCAAGGGGAAAGATACAAATGAATCTCCACTCATGGTAGTAGCACAGGTACCACAAACTCTTATTCTTTACAATTTGGATCAACTTTCTCCTGAGAGTGAAGTTCGCTGGCAACTGCCTCCTGTTGAAGTTCCAATGTCAATAAGCACAAAGCAACCATACGGTTTGGATATTAAAAGACAATTGGATCATCTTCGGAAGATGAAAGGATTTGAGTCAAATTGGTGGGGATCAAAGAGAAGATGGGAGTTTCAGGGAGGGAGAATCCCAATTAATGCGTTTTTTTCCCCGGTTAAAGTGTATGCTATGGTCAAACTCCTGCATATTTCTATGCTCCTGAATGGAGAAGAAATTCTAAAACATTCTTTTGTCTCAGGTAAAACAGGTCTGTTCAATACTTGGTGGGGCCATACTAATTCTTCTCCATCCAGCGACCAATTTCAACAAGGGGTAGAAAGGCACTTTAATAAACATGGATTTCAATCACCATTATACTTTTCTAAAGCTGCTCTTCAGCGTGCGGGAATCGCAGTCAGACCTGACGCAGACCCTCTGGATATGCTTGCTTACCCCACAGGCGCTAATTTTACAATGGGGAATGGTAATTCATCCATTCCAAAAAACAGTAAAGCGTATCAGCAGTATTACCATCTTTCACAGTTAGTCCTACCTGATAATTATAGAATTCCACCTGTTGTGCTGCAAGCAGAGCGAACGAACCCTGATCGTCCCATCCACGGTATTTCTGGTAAACTACTCGATATTCCAGAACTGGAGTATGAGGCGTTATTAAACTCTCCATCACCAGAGTTAGCATCTATTATTAAATGCGAAGATACATCACAGAAGTTTTCCTCTTACACAGATTTAGAATCTCCTCTCGCCTTTCGTGGGCGAAATCTGTGGTTCCTGCCTCATGATGTGCTGGAATTGGGTGGTTTGATTGATGTCAACTCCGTTCCAGTGGAGGTACATGTATCCAAACTTGATGAGTCTGGAAGAAAGTTGTACAATGTCGAACAACTAGTGCAACCTTTGGAGGGATACAAGGCTGTTGGTTCAATCCTGCTTATGAATCGATACAATGGTGAGAGTGAAACCGAATCTGATGATTAAGGTTGTCGGTGTCTATATACCAGATATCGGGTGTTTGCAAACGGTTCCTGAGGGGATGGTCAACAGAAGAGTAAGTAAGTAAGGAGAGAGAGAGAGAGAGATTAAAACCAAGAAAAGAAAGAAGAAAAAGGAAAGGAATTGATTCTGTATCCTGGATTGATCCTATTTGTAAGAACCGAAGGGTTTCTTTTTTTTTTTTTTTTAAATTCTTCACAGATGTTAAACTTTTTTTTTTCTTTTGTTTTTTTTTCTTTCTTTGATATTTTAAATCCCTTTTCTTTTCAATGTTTTCAGGCTGTTTTTCAGCTGTAATAAAGCATAGAGGTGGGATGCTACTTTAGGGAAAGATAAAAATCCCTTTCCTGTTTTTTTTCTCTTGTCCATACCCCTCTCCTTCTTATAATTTGATTATACGTGTTTATTTATTTTTCTAATGCTCTCGAGATCCAGATCCTATAGTTACATTTTAAACACAGTTAGGACGTTTCGTTCTTCGTCTTTTTTTTTTCTTTTTTTTTTTTCTTCTACTTTTTCTCTGTTTTTGTTTTTTTCTTTTCACCCCCCGGCCTCTGTGTACGGTGTGTATTTCTTTCTTGCTATATGTGTACAGCCTCATAGGACTAATCATTATATACATATATATATATATATATATATTATTTTTTTTTTCTTCTTTTTGTTACTTTTTTGCTTTCTCAAAGATACAAAGAGACGAGTTGAAGGGAAAAGGGGGAAAGTCCAAAGGTTTTTTTTTTTCTTCTTTTTTTATATACATACATACATACATACATGTCTTGCCGAAATGGTGGGAGGAAACTTTTCTCTCTTAATGGAGTGATTCGTTGTGCTCGACTTTTCCACAACACTCAGGTAGGGTTAAACCCGGGAAAGATCATTATTCCTAAACTGCCAAGTCTGCAACCTTCTAGAGATGCCTCCACCACTTTGGTATCGTCATCTTCTTCTTCAGGTTCCTCCTCCTCCTCATCATTATTAAATGGTTCCCCTTATAACCGAAGAAGTGAATATCGTGAAAATATGCATTTAAATCCTGAGGTATCACAGTTTCTAGCAGGCGATTCCGCTAATGCACTTCGACAGCAGGTGCAACTGGATAAGTTTCGTATCACTACTGAAGGGGCTGCTGCAAAGGTCTGGCGTGATTCCAAAAGTCACCTTCGTCAGCAGGAAAAACTAGTTAACGAGATTGGAGTTGAGGGGGCTGTGCGAGAAGTACTTCAACCCACACAAACATCTTTTCGACAAGAACTACGCCAGAGACCACTTGATCGTGGTATTCTTGAAGAGATTTATAAAGGTCTACATGGAAGGCGTATTGAACGAAAACTGAAAAAGGGGGTATCGTGGGAACACTGGATTACAAAAGGGGATGGAACTGCACCGGTTTTCAATGCCTCACAGAAAGCACAACAAACTTTTGCATTCGGTGGATCTATTAAACTTGTAGCAAAGGCTACGCACACCAAACAGTTTCCTTTACTTCTTCCTGGTGGTAAACGAAGAGATGGTCGTGTTGAAGTGGAAGGAACACAATCACTTGTACCAGAAGTAGCATTTATTGGTAGAACTTCCAGTGGGAAATCCTCTTTAATTAATGCCATTGTAAATGCTATGATTGCACCATATGGTCATCTTCAAGGTACTACGAATTCTGTAAATTTTTACAGTATTGCTAACAGGATTGTATTTGTAGATTGCCCTGGTTATGGGTATTTTAACCCAATGGAAACTCCATCTGGGGATGCCGAGAATGCTATTGCCGTGACAAACGCTTACCTTACAGCTTGCAGTCCACACGGTAATGTGAAGGGAAAAGATAAGATGAAAGGAATGAAACAAGGAGATGCGAGATCTCACTCTTTGGGTCCAATACGACCTATTAAGCGTGTATTTGTTTGTGTTTCATCACGAGGACTTCAACACACGGATATTGCTTATCTTGATCGTCTTGAAGAACTTAGTTTACCTTTTTCTGTCGTTCTCACTAAAACAGATGCTGCACCAATTCGTTTCCTCGCGCGATTAACTGATCACACACGTTCTAAACTTGTTCACTATAAACACTGTAAGGAACTTATGCTTACAAGTTCACTACGTTTGGCAGGAATTGATAAACTACAAAATCTTATTGCCACTATGGCCCTTGGTGAAGATAAACTGCATGGCGCGACAACAGACTTTAGCAGTATTGTTTAGGAATATTGAGGCTTAAGAGAGAGACTCCAGGGAGGGAGAGAAAGTGAAAAAGCGACATAATAAGAAAGAAAGAAAGAAAGAAAAAAAAAAGAAAAAAAAAAAAACCGTGTAGTGGTGGTGATTCCAAGACGCTTTTTTTTGTTTTGTTTTCATTATTCTCTGTGTGTGTGTGTTTATTCAATTAAGGAAAGTACATATTTTTCTCCACTCTTTTTTTTCAATTCTTATTATTAGAAGTGACTATTGCTTTTTTTTATTTATTTATTTATTTCAAATTTTAGAACGTCAGAAATCAATATTGTTTTCCGGTATATCGTTGGTAGACACAAACAGGGTTTGTTATTTCTTTGGCATATAAGAAAAGTGAAAGCTTTTCTCATTTGGCCTAAGTATCGTTCATGGATCGGAAACGTTTAACAATCAAGTACGGATCTCTTGTCCATATTTCATGTGATGATGGATTTATTACGGCTTCTGGAATAGTGGGGGAAACTTTATTTTTGCGCAGCAAGACTGAAATAGGTATCGATGGGGATTCTTTGCCTTTGTTGGGATTTGAAAAAAGTGTCTTTCAGCTTGCTGCCCCAACGAGTAGTTTAGCAGCAAAAGTGCAAAAATCACCTGAAGGCGGCGGTGGTGGTAACAAGACTCTTCTTTTGGATCATTTCAGTAAAATTAATACTGCACCTGAAATAGTTTTTGGTCAAACATTTTTACTGGTACATTCTATTAGTGGAATGCTTGTAGCGACGATTCCATCAGAACCATCTGAAAATGATCCCGATTGCGTGAGACTCACTCTTGTCAGACCAGAGGAGGTCTCACCAGCACGATGTGAATTTGTCTTTGTCTCTCGATATAAGATTCATAATGAAGGAGATCCTGTTTGTCGAGGAGATGAGGTGCTTATTCGACAAGGTACCCACCGTCTCTTTCTTAATGTTACAATACCAATGGAGAATAAAAAAGAAATGCCATTACATGTAACTCCTATGAATCTTACGCACTCGGATGTTGGCATCAGTACTCTTTCTCTTAGTGAGAGTAGCAATATGGGTGAGAGGACAGTGACGACAGCACCGGAAGTAAATGCTTCAGAAGAAAAATGTGTGGTCCTTGTGGTGGATCGACATGATATTGGGAGGGATCAAGCTAACTACCAGCGTGCGATACATCATATTCCTCGACCATATATACCAGCAGGAGTACCGATTGCATTTTATCATCGTGAACGGGAGTCTTTATTGGCAACAAGTCTTGCAATGCCACCTCAACAGCAGCAACAAGGATTGGGAAAGACTATGAGTGATGTTGTGGGGGATAATGAGGAATGCGATGATGATGATATTCCTGGTGGAATTCTGACAACACGGCAATATCATTCAGTTGCAGAAGGTGTTGTAACTTCGAGAGGTGCCACTGTAGCGGGAAAAGACATTAGCGTATCTCAAGGCATTGGTAATAGTAATAATAATAATAATAATAATGACAATAATAATGATGCTGATTATGAAAATTGTAATGCTAATAATGATACTGAAGGTATTCCATACCCGTTATTAGTAGAGGACACCTTGTCATTAAATACGCCAATGCGAGAGGAGGGTGATCTAGATAATGTCTCGTGTAGTTGCGCAGCATTATGGATCTTGGAAAATGAGGAACCGATGATAGGAGGGGCTGTACGTCTTCAGTCCATACAATACCGTATTCGACAGGCATGTTCCAATTTATATTTAGCCGTTACCGGATCTGGTGTAGATGCCTTCTTTGATGATATTGAAGGGAATAATGTGAGATCATCTTCTGTAGATGGGGATGAGACTAAGAGTCAACAGGATAGTGATTACTCAGATGATACCAGAGATAAAAAGGTACGTCCCACCACACTTTGTATGATACCCCCACCACGTTCTCAAAAAGATCTCAATCGCACACTTTTCACAGTGAGTCCCATGTTTGCCTCTGAGTGTAACTTTCTTATTGAGAATGAGTGCCTGGTGCTGCAGAATGTCCTTACAGGGATGTATGTATGCACAGAGGAAACAAGCAGGCGAGTGTTGCTGCAGTGGAAGCCGCCCGCACACGATACGATTGTGGCACGGAGAGTTCACGCGGATATTTCAGAGAATGTAATTTTCTTGTGGACGCAATGTGAACGACTCTGCAGCTACCGGGATGCCTTTCAGGCGTTGATATCTATAAAACAACAAGAAGGAAAAGGAAAAGGAAAAGAAAAAGGACAACAAAAACAAGAGAAACAACTTTTTAAATCTGAGGAGGAAGAAGAAGAAGAGAAAGAGGAAGAAGAGGAGGAGGAAGAAGAAGAGGAGGGGAAGGGGGAAAAACTATCATATGGATCACTTTTCCCAATTATACGCACTTGTCAACGTACTTTAAAGGAATTAATTCGATTCTGTTCATTATTGCCAGATCGTGATGTTCTTCGTCAAGGCGCAGTGCCAATTTCCAAACATCAACGTATGATGTTTGATCTTCATATTCAACGACTTCTCTTTGACATCATTCTCACCCCATATTCATTACTCTCTTCCACCACAACAGAGAACTTGACAGAGGGGCAGATGGAGAGAAAAAGTATTTGGGGAAATGGACAATGGGGATGCAAACCACAGTTACCACAACAACCCCTTTCAGGTGGTGTTATTCATATTGAAAATGCCTTGGATAAAGTACATACAGAAGTGTATTTAGTGTGTTGTTTGGCTTTTCAACTTTTGAAACAGATGGTGTATGAGGCTCCAAAGCTTAAATCTGGGTATGATGATTTTATTCCATACCTTCTGGAACTTGATAAACATGGTTTCCACGTGGTGGAGGTTATTACGGAGATATTTCAAAATAATGCAAATTTACCCATAACTATGGTAGAACGTGTATCTGATCACTTTGTTGAAGTTCTTGGCCGTGTGCGAAGTGCAGGGATTCTACATCTACTTAGTTCCATGTGTGTTATTGGTTTCCGTGGCATTTCAGAACGGCAGGCGATTATTTGTCAGAAACTTCTTCTTGAGAAGAATGAGGTGCTTTGTCGCTTTGTATTAGACTACAATGGTGAATGGGCAGTTGCTACGAGTAGGGATAAAACTCCTGTCTCGTATCAAGATTTCTTTAACCCAGAAAAAGAGAAAGGAAGACATACACAAAATATAAGTGAGAGTTTGGTGGAATTTGTAGAGAATGAAGTTGAATTACTGGGTCGATTATGCTTTGATGGATGTCCACCTATTTGCTGTGAGGAAGTTGCAAAGATATTCCCAGAGCAAGTATTACTAGAGGCTGTGCGAAAATTTGTCTGGACAGGTGCGGAAGTGGTAGGAAGACCAAGTTCAATGGATGTACTTCGTGGACACATCTTACGATTGGCTATTCAGTGTTATATTATGCCAAAGATTAATGATCCTGCAGTGGAGCTTCGTGTAGCAACAGTACTCTTCGGATCCAGTTCTTTACGTAGAGATGTAAGTGGTAATACTCCACTCTCTTGTAAACCTGATGATGATCTTATCAAGGTAGTAAAAATAGCTACTCTTGGTATTATTCGTGCGAATCCACATTTTGTATATTCTGATGTAAACCGTAGTATACTTCTACGTACTTCATTGAATATATGGTTACGTTTCGTAAAGTCTCATCAAATATCTACAAATGAAACAAGAACTCTTATCCCACCACTACTTAGTCTCTTAGATTCCAGCAAAGATGTAATAAACCTTATGGGTATCAATATGGACAACAGCGTTATTGGCAGCGGCGGCAACAGTAGCATCAGCATAAAAAGAAGTGATAATAATAATAATAGTAGTGATAGTCTTTCTCTTAAACTTAAATGTGCCCTTCTTCAAATGTCAGAGGCAAACATACAAGTAATGAGAGCACGTGATATGATTTGTAGAACACTTTTACATCTCTTGGATTGTGCCACACATGGAACAGCGGATGAAATTATTATGTACTTGCACGATATCTTTGCTAAAGGCAACGAACCCACAGTTCATCCTCTCTCTCAGAATACAGTTTCCATTAAGTCTCCTGATGTGGAATGCTCAAGTGATATTGGACCAAATGCTGAGGAGGTTTCATTGCTTCCAAAACGCCCGGGATTTCTTAATATTTTTAAACGTCATAGGAAGGGCTATCAATCTATTGATGATGAAGTAGAATTAACAGATGTGGAAGGTAGACGCAGTAGTGGTGGTAGTAATAATAGTAGTAGATCTATTACTCCATCAGAAGTTGTAGATTATCTTCGTTGTGCTTGTAAGGATATTTTAGATCAATTTCGTGTAGAGGAACTTGTACCACGACTTATGGATCTTGTTTGCTACGATAATCCGCAATTAAAAGCACAATCTACAGAATTGCTTATACGTCTCTGTATGGTAAAACGCAATGTGGCCCATCGGGTATTGCAGGTACACACCTTACCCTCTATTGAAGTAACACGAAACTTTGATAATCTCTATACAGTAGCCGTAGACGTCCTTATACTACAGAGACGCGGTCGTGTAAGTGATGCTGTCGCACTCGCTCTTGATAGTGTAGATGAGAAATCCTTATCGGCACCTGAAGAAAAAGAAGAAGAAGAAGCAGCAGATTCAAGTACGGTTACTATTCCTCCTGCTGCTGATTCAAGTAAAGGAGAAGTAAAAGAAATTGAGATGGTAGAACACCCTAGTGAGATTGACGATACCAGTAATGATGATAATAATAATAACGATGATGATGATGAGAGTACTCCTCTTGAAGAAGGAGAATTGACGACTGTTGTTACTGCCCCTACTACCACTACGACGACGACATCAACAACTCACACTTTCTCTGGGAGTTTAAGAGGACGTTCTCTGTGGGCAAAGACGGCTGGGGCTGCACGGATGTTATCATATCGCCATGCCGTACGGGTCCGACGCCGCTCAATGGGACTTGGTGAGACTTCAAATATACCGCTGCGTCTCGTTATTCGCATGGAAATGGTTTGTCACTGGAGGATTCATATCACAATGCTGCAGATGCATTCTTCTATTGATCCTAGTGATTTGACGTTTTTTCATTGGATGCGTTTCTTTTACCTTTTTACTCTTTCACGAAGTAATGCGAAAGCATTACAGGGAAATATTGATTTGTTTATGGATTCTCTTTCACTTAATGAGGAATGTACTGCAATGTGTCTTCACATTATTGTAGCTATCCTCGCTACGATTGCAGACCCAACTCCTCATATCACTACCAAATTCCTAAAGGAATGTGTGAAATTCCTTGATCATGAAGTTGCTTTACCTCATCCAGATAGTGAGTTTCCCTCCAAGTTAAGTGCTGGTATCTTTGAAAAGTCAACAGTGAGTGTTGTGGTCCGACGACGTATGCTGCAACTCTTACGTGAACATCATATTATGCGTTGTTTACCCCAACCGGATGCGAAAGTGGCACCCGTGGCAAGTGCATTTATCGCTTCCATGTTGGAGCTTCTCTGCCAGATCTGTGGATCGGAGATGAGTGCCGTTTCGATGGGACAACAACTATTACCATTGAAGAATATACTCTGTATTATTATGGAGTACGGCACACGGTTTAACCCATTACGTCGAAGATCACATGGACAACAAACAACTGTGGAGAAAAATGCATTTTTACTTGTTGGTACCTATCTACGTGCCCTTCTATTACTGTATATCACCTCAGATGAGGATGAGAGTGAAGGGGGAAAATTACATCGTCAAATGGAATGGATGGGAAACAACGATTGGTGGGCTGTAGTTCAATTATTAGGAGATCAAATGCGAGGTCTCACGGTTCTCATTAACGCAGGTGTGGGAAAGGTGGTAAATCGAGGTTTACATATCGTCCAGCGTTATCGAAAAGTTTGGTTAATGACAGTACCTGTTGCACTCCTTTCATTCTTCGCAGAGTGTTTTACAGTGGTAGGGTATTACAAATATATAGATAAAGTGGAAACGATTTTTTGTGAATTATGTGAAAGTGCCCTGCAATTCTGTACAAAACTTCTTGAACATTCTAATGCACTTGAACTACAAGTTCGAGAAGTTGTAAATTATCGCCGTTGTCTTGCATTATTAATGATGCATGCGAGTCATATAAATGGTTTACAATCACTTGCAAATAGATTGGAGGCTATAAGAAACCATATGCGTTTATGGTTACTAGACTCTCGCCAAAAAGCCAACGAGATGGAGCAGATTAAAGGTAAACATAGACGAGAAGAATCTGCACCAGTAGATGCCAATGATGATGGCATTAGTGGTCATGAAGTGTTTTTTCCAGGTGAAAGTGCTTCTCAAAGTTTACAGAATAGTTCTGTTTCTACGTCTGCTGGATTATTTCTTTCTAGTGCTGCTATAAAATGTCGTGATATTGAATTAATACGGGGTGCACTACGTCCATTTATTAGACGTGATGTACTCATTCCTGTAGAGGATAGTATCAATCCATCTGAAACAGCAAGTGTTATTAATGCCTTACTTCAACGTAGTCCAGTATTATCTAGTGTTCAAGATTTTATCTCTAATATATTAGATGGGTTACGAAAACGTTTATTTACTCCAATTGCATTCGTTGGATTATTGAATTGTCTTCACAACGCCCTCTATCTGGCTCTCCAGGAAGGAAAGAATAATCAACAAAAACAGCAAGATCAAGGACAAGAAAAAGAAAAAGAAGGAAAGATTGGAGGCGAAGAGGAAGAAGATACTGGATATGTATTACAGTTAACATTTAGTGATTTAGGGGTAACATACATTGTCGCTTCTCTCTGCGCATTGGAGGATGTGGTAGTAACATACAGTGCCATGCGGCTTGGTGTAGTACTGCTGGATGGGGGAAATAAACGAGCACAAAATGCCTTGATGAGATACTTTGAAACCCATCAGGAGGGATTCTTTCAAAATGTTCGGGATGTGTTGCAAAAAGGATTACAGTGGGTCTGGCGAGTTAACACAGAACATGAACTTGTTATTTTAGAACGGGGTGGAATTGTTGTAAATGTTTCTAATATGCGACTATTTGCGTTAATGCTACTTACCAATGCTGGAGCTAGTACTTCACGAAATAGTAGTAGTGGTATTAGTAGTAGTAAACGACGACGACGTTTATCTGGATGGGATCGTATGTATGGTAGTTTACATTTACGTCTAATTTGCACACTCTTCCGTATGCTACAACTCTTTTGTGAGGGACATAATTTTAGTATGCAAAACTATATCCGTTGTCAGCATGATAATATGCATAGTGTTAACATTGTCCATGATGTGATGGTTTTCCTTGCAGAACTCTCTAGAATTATTCATCCTGCTACCTTTGATACCGTACGTGGTGGTTTTGAGTTATTGACGGAACTTTGTCAAGGCCCTTGTCATGCCAATCAATTAGCTCTATTAAACTATGATGTTTGTTCTACTATTTATCATGTCGTTGATATGCTTTATAAATTTGAGATGGGGGATTCCATGACGACGAATACGCTTTCTAAAGACAAGAGTAAAATAAAAAAGAATGAGAATGACAGCAGTGATGATGAGAATAATGATGATAATAATAATAATACTAATGATGGTTATCCCATCGCGGTACAGCAAAACCGTACCACTCTCACTATGAAGGATATTGGTTGTCTTCGTATTTCTCTCACTACATGTCTTCTCTCACTTATTGAGGGATCTCACGAAACGGCGTTGGTACGTCGTGTGCTTGTACAGATTCCTATTGATATTATTGAGCGTGAAATTGGTTCTATACAACCCAATGTATTTGATCGAATTTTAAATGATGAGGAACTAGAAGATGATCCAGGTGTAGAAGCCTTCTTTAAATGGCTTATCTTTCTTCAAATAGTACGACCCTTTGCAGATGGAGTTTATTTACAACACATTGATGAAATACTGCGTCGAACTAAAAAATTGCATAGCCGTATTGGTGTAATTGAAATTCGGCGTGCAGATGGTGTACTTGAAAAGGTATTCTTTCGAATTCCTCTCATTTGCTGCGGTCTTACAGGGAGTATAAAAAATAATGTACTTTGGGAAATCAATCGTACAAGTCGGGCAACGAAACTTGGAGACTTTTTACATCGTAGTGATAATATTATCTTTAAAGTAGAACGAGCTCATGCATTTCATCGCTGGGTTGTACATTGGACACAATTTAAACTGGAAACTGATACAGGAAACGGTAAAACCTGGAGTCAATTACTAATAGGTACATTAAAGGGTTGGTGGAATGCGTATATTGCACCTATACTCTTTTCTAGTCAATTAAGTTTTTACGAGTATGCCTCCTTAATGGTGGCGGTGTTAGCGAATATGAGTCTTATCTTTATTGAGGGTGCCCAATGGAGTAGTGAGGTATTACAAATGTGGAGAATTGCCATTTCTTGTTTCTGTGTACTTCAACTTATATTATCTTGTATGGCTTTGGCAGTGGATACGGTGGTGTTCTTTCCTGTTTGTCTCTATACAGAGTATAGGTATAAACAACATATGTCCTCTGGACGTGCTAAACTGAATGTAACGATGCAAGAAGTTTTTGATGGATTATCAAAAATGGAAATTGTTTCTCTTTTTTGTACTCGATTTGAAATTCAATTTCGTGTTTTTCTTGTTTTTATGGCGATATTAAGTTTATCCGTATCTCATTTCTTTGCCGCCGCCCATTTATTGCTCGTTATTTACAAGACACCTACTCTTCGTACTTTTATTGCAGCCATTACACAGAACGGAAAACAACTACTTTTAACAGCACTCCTTGGCGTTGTTGTGCTTTATCTTTTCGCTATTGTCGGTTATCTTCTCTTTCCAAGTGAATTTGGTGGTGATGATGATGATAACAATAACAATAACAATAATAATAAAAATAAACAGGATAATGAAAACTGTAATAATCTTTTCCGTTGTTTTATGTTCATTTTATGGCAAGGACTCCGACAAGGTGGTGGAGTTGGAGATGTAATGCAGGAAGAACCGTGGTCCAGTAGTACACTTATTCCACGTGTAAGTTATGATTTGATTTTCTTTGCCCTTGTGAATGTAGTGTTCCTTAACATTATGTTTGGTCTTATTATTGACACCTTTGGTGAACTTCGCGATGATAAGCGTGAGAAACATATGGATATGGTGAGTATATGCTTTATATGTGGTTTAGAGGCGGATGTGTTTGAACGGGTTCGTATTGGTGGATTTCACACTCACATCATGGAGGAACATAATATGTGGATGTATCTCTACTTTATGCACTACCTACGACGAAAGGATCCAAATGATTTCACTGGTCAGGAATCTTATGTACATGAGAAGATACAAGAGAATGATCTCGGCTTCTTTCCAGAGGAGGAGTGTCTCTCTCTAGAGGAGGAAACTCCAGAGAAGGAGAAGGATGAAGACGAGCATCAAGACAGTATAGAAGAATCAAAATTAACCACCACAGGAGGAGCAAAAGCAAAAGCCACAACTACTACGACTACAGGAGGAGGAGCAGCAGCAGCAGCAGCAGGAGGAGGAGGAGGAGGAGGACCAGGAGGAGTAAGTGGAATGGCCGACAGTCAGGCAGTGGCATTGACATTAAAGGAACTTGCAAGTGTGAAGGAGGCACTAAGTGTGTTTGTGCGGGATATCAGCACGGATGCCCAGAAGGTGAAATCCATGATCCACCAACTAGAGATCACCAGTCGAAGTGTTCATGGGACTTCCGTTGCTGGAAGTGCCGCCCATAAGGCAAGCTCGGCCTCTGGGACTCATGTGAGCAGGGGAAGTATATCCCGCAAGCAACTCCATTCGAGCGATTCGAATGTAAAATAAATAAATATTTGCTTGAGAAAAGTAAACGAAAGAAAGAAGGAAAGAAAGAAAATGAAAATGAAAAGTGAAACCAAAGGAGGATAGAGATAGATAGAGAGAGAGAGACTCTTCTATGCTCTAAATAAAATTATTTGAGAAGATTATTATTTAAATTGTCATGTTTTAAAAATGAATGTCATAAATACTTATGGATGTGGGGGGAGAGAGGGGTACATTTTATTGTTCGTTTTTAATTTTATTTTATTTGCTACCAAACATAAACCAGGTCTTTCGTACGTAATTGAAAAAAAAAAAAAAAGAGAGAGAGAGAGAGAAGATATCAACAGAATAAGTAAAAAAAAAAAAGAAAAAAAAAAGAAAAAGAGGAGGCGATAAAAGAAAAAGTGTTGCTGCAAATAATACCAATAAGACATAAACAATATATCTGAAAAATGAGGATATGAAGGGATTATTTTTATTTTTATTTTTATTTATTTTCTTTGGCATTAGGTTTTTCCAATTTCTATGTATCCATTTATCTTTCTTTTTTATCTATCTATTTATCTATCTTTCCTTCCTTTATTTATCTATCTATTTATTTATTTTCGTTTTCTTTTATGAACTATCTATTATCTATTAGGGAGAAAAGAAAGTGTAGCCCGTTGTTTTCAGTGTCTCTCTGTATCACACACTGACCGTACCATGAGTTCACCTACGAAAAACACTTGTCTCTTCAGCCTGTCATCATCCGATCCACCATTGACACAAGAGACGGAATTGCTTGCACCGCCACAACAACAACAACCACAACAGCAGCAGCAACAGCAATCAGCACAACAGACAGAAACAGCCATACCACCACAACAACCACAACCACAACCACAACCACAACAACAACAGCCACCACCACAACAACAGCCATCTATGCCAGCTAAGTTAACACACGATCCCGCCGCTCCGCAGGCGAAGGAGGGAGTCTCCGTTCTCCAGCGCCGCAATGTGTACATCTCTGGGCTCTCGGAGAGTCTCCGCGCGGCGGACTTTCGCCAAATGTGCCAGCAGTTCGGCAGCGTGGAGGCGAGCAAACTCTGCGTGGACACCAAATCCCGCCCGACGAAGAGTTACGGCTTTGTGCTCTTTGTGCGTGAGGCCGACGCGGCGCGGTGCATCCAGGAGCTGAACGGCCAGTGGATTGACGGCCGCCACCTGCAGGCCCGCCTGGCCGACGCCGCCGCGACCCCCGCGCCCCTCGACCCCGCGAGCGCCCACCCGCCGATCAGCCGCGCCCGCCAGCAGGGCGGGAAGTCCGCCGCCCACAGCGCCGCCGCGTCGTCCTCCACCGCCTCGCTGGCCTCCACGTCCGTCGCGATGGCCGCCGCCGCGGGGCACCGCACCGCCAACTCGAGTCTCCACAGCGCGGGCGCCATCGTGGACGGCGCGACGATGATGATGACGACGAAGAGTCTCCCGCTCTCCATCTCGCCAAGCTCCAGCCAGGACGTCACACCGCCGGTGACGCCAGCGCAGATGGGCCTCACACCGACGTTCATGCCGCAGCCGCCAACACACCCCGCCGCCGCCGGCGCACCGCTCCTCTATCACGTTCCTATTGACCAGGCCATGGGATATCCACTCACCGCCCTACCCCCACAGCAGCAACAGCAACAGCAACAACAACAGGGCGGCTACATGCAGTTCCCTCCGCCATTTGTGCCTTCACCAATGATGGGAATGCCAGTGTACTTTGCGCTCTCGCCATCCACGTCGGTAGTGGGGAATGTACCTCAGCAGTTTGTTGTCCCAACGACAATGATGGCACCAGGTGGTTATCAACAACAAATGTACTCTCCGCTCGTCTTCTCCCCATGAAAGTAAGACAAGGCACAGTTCCAGCGAAAGTGAGAAAAAGAGAAGCGAAAAAAAAAAATAGCAATTAATAAAGAAGAAATGGCAACAGTGAAAAAAAAAAAGAGAAAAAGGGATGGGTGAGGGGTGGAAAGAAGAAGAAAAGAAGAAGAGGAACTGATGGTTTGCCGTTAAGTGCTCTAATCTTCTGCTAAGGACGTTGATTGGCCCTTCCACACCCCTTTCTCTCCTTTTTTCCTTCTTGTTACTTCACAACAAATATTTGTTTGCAATTTTGTGAGTGAGTTCATTGAATAGATGTGAGGAAAAAAAAAAAAAAAAAAAAGTGTGCAACCAAACGAAAAGTGGTGGAAATGGAGAATAATAAAAAAAAGTGTGTAACCATGGGCGTAAAAAATACGAACCCAGCTTCTTGGAGAGAAAGAAAGAAAGAAAGAGAGAGAAAGAGAGATCAAGGATAAGGAATAACAGAAAAGTGAAGAGAATGCAAATGTTCCACACGATGAAACGAATGCATGAAGGAGCTGAAGGGCGACAGGCTAAGAATGTATTACTGAATGTAAGTGACAAGAGAGGGGAAAAAAACAACAACAACAACTGGATAATACACGAAAATACTTTTTTTTTTTTGAGAGCGTGAGGGTGTGGAGGGAGGAAAAAAAAAAGAGAAAAAGGGATGGGTGAGGGGTGGAAAGAAGAAGAAAAGAAGAAGAGGAACTGATGGTTTGCCGTTAAGTGCTCTAATCTTCTGCTAAGGACGTTGATTGGCCCTTCCACACCCCTTTCTCTCCTTTTTTCCTTCTTGTTACTTCACAACAAATATTTGTTTGCAATTTTGTGAGTGAGTTCATTGAATAGATGTGAGGAAAAAAAAAAAAAAAAAAAGAAAAANNNNGAGAAAAAAAAAAAAGTAACAAAAAGAAGAAAATTAAGGGGAAGATATATAGTTATATCTTTATTATACTCTTCCCCATCATTTATTTATTACTCTCCAATCTTTCATTCTTCTTTTTTTCTTTTCTTTTTTTTCCTCTCTTCCTATTTCTCTGAACTCCTGTGTGTCCACTCACCTTCTTTTTATATTTTTTCCTCCTGAATTCCTCTTCCATTGGCTTTATTTCTGTTGGGCCCCCGCATGTGGGGCAGCGACTGAAGTTGGACGATGAGAGGAAAGAAGGAATGAAAGAGTGGGAGAAGGTGAGGAACAGCAACAAGAAGAAGAAGAAGAAAAATAACAAAAAAGAAAAATAACAAAACAAAAACAAACATGCGTACAAGTGTTTTCTTTTCTTCTCTTGATGGGTGTAAATAATAATAATAATAATAATAATAATAATAATAATAATTAAAAAAAATTAGAAGAAACGTGTGTTTTCTTTTTATAATTTTCTGTTTACGTTTTTTTTTTTCTTTTTATATTTCTATTTATATTCCTATTCTTCTTTGTGTTTTTTTTTTTTTTTTT